ATCAGTTGGCTAATTAACTAGAATTTGATAATTAACTTTTTAATTCATGAAAATAGACATATTGTTCCAAATAGACTTGCTCAGCGTCATTGAAAATCACTAAATCAGTCATTTTCAGAAAGACTTTGAGCGCCTGAGATGCGTAGTAGTGCACTTAAGTTACCACTCGTGGAGCAGGTACAAAGCTAGCGGGTGCGGTAAGGCGCCCGCGCGATTTTTTCGTCTCTTATCTAGCCCCAGCCTTGTACCTGCTCCACGAGTCGTTATTTTAGTGCACTACTACGCTTCTCACGCGCTCAAAGTCTTTCTGAAAATGACTGCTTTAGTGGTTTTCGGTGACGCTGTGCAAGTTTCTAATTGGAACCCTATGTCTATTTTCATTATTTAAAAAGTTAATTAACGAATTTTAATTAATTAGTCAACTGATTGTTACGATTAACCCCCTATAATATGTCCCCCTGGCCGTATAACTCACCTGCACAAACCGTATCAGTGCATCTTTTATGGATTTTTTAAAATAAATCTGTTCGAATTAAAAATGAACACCCGGTGTATATATATATATATATATATATATATATATATATATATATATATATATATATATATTATTATATATATATATATATATATATATATATATATATATATAAAGATACATGTTAGATATTGGTATATCTTTTCAACATCAAATTATTAATAGACTTAACAATTAATGAAAAATATCAAAAATCACTATTTCAACCATGTGTTAAGTGATGCGTCCTAAACCTAAATACAACTGATAATATTATCTCATGTCGGCCTCTCGCTTTTTGTGCTTTTTGTACTTTTTTGTACGTTTGTACTTTTTTCTCAAATGCATTTGTACCCCACCCTCGCAATAATGCCTTTGTAAGGCGATGCGAGGTATTCTGAATAAATAAATAAATAAAAAACACTTTGAAATCTGCTACCCACTCGCCTGACAAATTTTAAGTTTAGGTCACTGGGGCTAAAAAATGCACTTTTACTCTTTTCTTGATCATGCAGAATCTTCGACTTCGGCGTACTATTTCAACAATATCGGGGCGGTTATTTATAAGGTCAGATAATTGGTAATCAAGTTCAATCAAACTACCATCAAAATGATGAGTTACAAAGAACGCCCTTCTAAACACCCGTCTTGAAAAAAAAAAAAAAACTGCTATTGCTTGTTTTTCCTAGATTAAAATGCAGTCAAAAACTATTAGATACACAAGCACAAACACGCATACTAAAAGCGCAAGGCCATGGTGCATGGTTTGTGCTTGATTACTTTGACCGGGGACAAACAACGCACTATAAGACGTTGAGCTCCGTGACATAGTGTTTTCTGGCTCTGCTTGATTGGCCTCATCGACCTGTTATGTCGGCTGCGCTCTAATTTAAAGTGAAAATGAATTTAAATGTTTATGTCGTGCAAAAGCTCTTTCGGTCACGAAATGCTGACGAGGCATGATTTATGTGTGTTCTGTAACGTTTGATAACATTCTTCACCGATTGATCGACTACGTTTTTAATTTTTAAATAGTTAAAACGATAGCTACTGGCTCGTGATCCTCTAACGAAATCGCTTTGCCAACCTTGCAGCGCGGAACAAAGCCAGTGTCAAAGAACAAATTTTGACCAGCTAGGCACTCTCGATCGGGTCGATGAGCTAGCTGGACTCCGCTTCTGTGCGAGCTGGGCACTGCTGGCACCACTGTCACGTTTGCTGGCATTTGTGTCAGCGGGAGCACGCACTGAACGCTGAAGGTGCACGGGCGAGCAGCAGAAAGGAGGAAATTAAGAGCAGAGGAGGAACATCACTGCTACGAGCCTGTTTTCTTGCCACACTAGGGTGCCTACATGCGCGTGTGTATGAAGGAACTCTATGCCACACAGATCAGTGCCGCCATCTAGTGGTTGAACTTGGCTTGTTCAAGATGGCCGCCGTGGGACCGCCGCCTTAAGGAGTGGGGTTGCATTTGTTTCAAGATTCTAGTTGTTTGAATGATGAATTAGACAGCCATCTAAGAAGAGTCTGATCATACACTGGAAGTTAGTGTGGACTATTGATGCCCATCGCAAAGGTCAAGAGCCTACTAATTCCCAAGGAACGTCGGATGCAGTATTTTATGTACTGATCGATCAAAAACGTGAAGACTTGATGTGTTCTAAGTTCCAAGAGGATAAATGAACTGCTCTTTAACGTTAGAAATGAACTTTTTTTTTTAAATGATTTGTTCGAATGCTTTGTGAAAGTTCACGAGAACGCCATTTAAAGAAATGGTAGCTTTTTCAAAATAACAGCAGAAAAGTACTGAGATCGAATGCAAGCTACCGCTATGAATCCAAGTTATATCAAAAGTTTGAGAACGGCCAATTTGTAAACTCGTCGTTTAGTACGAAAAGTTAAAGATAAGGGCAGCTTCCTCGCTAAAAATTGCTGTGGTTATTAAGCAGTCTTGTACACGTTACTAAAAAAAAGTAATCGATTACAATTACTATTACTCTTGGCTAAAAAGTATTCGATTAGATTACTTGATTACCCGACGGCAAAACTAATTGGACATTACTTAAAGAAGTAATCGTTACTTTTCCGATTACTTTATTGTGTGAAGACACATCTTTAGCACTCATAACAATGAACTACTTCCAACTTATATTTCACATTTGCACAAGTATTGAAGAAGAAAAACTCGCTCCCTCTTCGTGGTCGTTGCATTTTCACAATGCGGACACAAGCATAGAATTTGTTTGAAGACGTTTAATAATTTGGGCGTTCGCCAGTGTGTGTGTATGTGTGTGTGTGTGGGGGGGGGGGGCGGAGGGGGTTCTAGATCTTGTTAAGCTTGAGCAAGGGTTGTCGCTCAAAGTTCCCGTCGCTCATTTCATTAATCACATGTGGATTTGCTCGCATGTTATACAAAAGAGCAGCAGCTCCAGGATTTGAAACGGATCATGTGTAGTATCCATTAGCGGAAGAGATCGCCCCGACCACTTCTTAACTCGAAACATTGCTTGTCACAAAGACCAGGTAGGGGAAATGGGGAAATATTTCAACTGCCTTTGTTATATTTTGCATCCGCTCTAGGAATTCTTCGGTTCTGGTTCTCCTACGGGTTGCGAGTAGGTACCCTAAGCCGGATTTTGTAAATTTTTTTTCTGTGTGTGTGTGCGTGAGGGGGCTAGTTTGAACGAAGGACTCACAAAGCTACATTCTGCTTCCTCAAACTTCGCCCTGAATGGCCTTTCTCACAAACTGTGGCTTCCCTGGGGCTTCCCACTCCCAGTCCCAGCTCGAAAAAAAAAAAAAAAAAAACGGACATTTTACAGAAACTGTACATAGAAAGAGACTGACCTCGTTTCCTACAGCTCCGCAAAAATCTTTCGTTTTCCGTTCGAAAAAAAAAAGAAGCAAATTTTATTTTTGTCATTTCATAAAACAAAAAGGCGTGTGCCCGGGGAGGGGGGGGGGGTCGGGTCCCGTGGACAAATTGTAACGATTACAAGTAATTTTATTACTTCAGAAAGTAATCAGATTACTCTTTTGATTACTGCCTAATAAAAGTAATCAACTGATTACAAAATTACTCCGAAAAGTAATCGATTACAAGTAATTTGATTACTTGTAATGCGTACGGTACAAGTCTGTTATTAAGTGACCCGGGGCTGAAACAACTTCCCTTAGGCCCTACACGCGACGTATGTGTTTAGCTTAGATTCTGAGACGTTCCAACCTTCAAGCGAAGCTAGAAAACAGCGAATTTTTTAGACTAAACGTTTTATCGTAATATAGTTGATGAGTACAATACGTAAAGAACGCAGGATTATCCTCGCTAAAAATTGCTGTGCTTAAGCAGCTACTTAAGTCTGAAAAAAGTTCTCCTAGGCTCTACATGCGACGCATGATTATTCGCATAGATTCTTAGACATTGCAACGCTCATGTAAAACTAGGAGAATGCGAAAATTATATGCTAAAAACACTAAAAGTTCTACCAGTCCTCGAACACATCCGGAAATCCGAGCACCACTACGGTGATACAAGATATTGCCGCATGCGTGATCGAAAAAATACGCTTCTCGGTTCATCTAGAACATTTCCGTACACTTTTACACCGAGCGTAAATGATAAGGAGGCCAGAATGGCCCTGACTAGTCAGTCTCGCCTTAGCTCTTGGCGCCGAAATCGGTGAAGAGGGACGTCGCCGGCGATCTTCCGTTACTAGGTGATACGTTACGATGTTGCTCCCTGTAACCGCCCAATCCAGTGCGGACTTCGCTGCTATGCGCCCTATCGCCAAGCCTCTCGAAATATGCGCCCCGTGCCCATCTTTCGGCGCTTGCAGATGAAGTTTCCTAACCAGTTTCCACAGCCTGTCGGGCTGTAGCGCCATCCCGTGGCGACGTTACGAACTTTAGATATGTGTACTCTAAACCAGTCCAAGGTCATCGCATGTACAGTACCACGATATTAATGCTAACGTATTAAGAAATAAGAAACTCTTAAACAACTGATGTGCGTAACTGGACCCAAACCAGCCACTTGCTCACGTTACTGATGCTCTGCCGTAAGCCAACTTTTTCTACACTTACAGTTACGTTCAACAAATGCCAGGTTTGGAAAAGAGTTTTGTGCGCAGGTAATTTAGGAAACCATGGTTATATATGTGTGATGAGGTTGAGAGCTTCGGCCTTTTAGGGAAAATCCGCAATAAACTTCATCGAGCTTTTAACTTATATGACGACGGCTGCTACTGGCGCATACTTCTCCGCTTGGGGTGATTTCAGTCAAAGTTTCGTTGATCTGTGATGTTAGGTATTTAAACCAACCGTTCCTGAAACAGTTCTTGAACAGATCCGGCGCAATTGGTCTTAGCAGGAGACATCGCTCAACCACGAGAACGCGTAACCCTGAGTCATGCAAGGACACAAAACTAATCACCCACTTATATGTTTAATATTAAAGTTTCAGTCAAACTAATATTCGTAAGTACTACCAAAAAGAACACTTGCTCGTGGGGTTCATTGGAGAACCAGATGGACAAGAGAACGCTTTGGCAAACTCCGGAGAGTGCTTTAAGGGGACGTTGCACCTGTCAACACTTGGAGGATGCGAACCGAGCGCTCCCGATTTGTAATTAGAACACAAAAACAAGCAGGAGCTTATGAAAAACAATTGTTCGCTTGTAAACTGTCCCAGCGAGCGGATGGTGACGGCGGACTCCGCGCTCGCTCTACGATAGGCTTCGATCAGCGCACTTTGTCCCATGTGGTCGGCCAGGAGCTCCGGCGTCCACGACTCAGGTACGCGCGCTCCTTCCGGCGGTCTTGTCGCGGACTTGAGAAGGCACTGCGACTTGGAGAGATAGGCTTGCTCCATGTCCACCGTGTGGAAAAACGACCGGCTCCTGGCCCGCAGCGAGGCTGTCCAGGACCGATCAAGCGCGTGCATCAATTCGTGTACGATGATGCGGCCCAGACTACCGTAGTTGATTTCCGGTGGCGCGCCGTAGTTGAACGCCGGTGGCATCAAAATGGCAGCTGGAAATGAGGCAAACTCACCGCTGTGGTAATAATAGGCATTGACCTTGCGGGTTTCGAACTCGATGTTTCTGGGGTCGGCTGTGGGCTGCTCGACGAAGTTGATCAAGTGTCGCATGGCTGCTGCGGCACTTTTCAAGTAGGCTTCAAGGTAAGGACCGGTCACGTCCGGAAAAGGTCGGTAGTAGTCCTCCATACCTTCTGCGGTATCCAGCCCACTTGGATATCCTAGCTGGCGGTTGATCCTATGGAGCTTGCCCAGAGTTTTGCGAAGCGACAATCCTTGCAGCCATTCCGACTTGCGAATTGTATCATCGAGTCTCTCGATTATATTATCAGCCATAGTGTCGATATTGGCGAGTCTCGATTTGTTCACAAGGGGAAAGAAAATATGTAGGGCAACAGCATGCGAGTAGAACTTTCGTGTTTCCGTGTAGCAATACCATTCGAGACTGCTTTGTGTTTCTTGAATGTTGACAAGACCGGAGACGTTCGATAGTAGTCGGAGAACTTCCCATGTTGTATAGGTGCGCAAATCGTTTGGAGATATATTCACCAGAAGAGAACGCAGAAAGTGGAAATCTCTAATAGGTCCACGGATGTTGTAATCACCAGGCGCTAAAAGATTCTCGGACATTACTCTGCTTTTGTTATGATCCATTTGAAACCATGATGACAGCTCAGATACGGGAAGAACGTAATCTTTTTCCATGGAAATATTTGCATACTTCAGTTTAACTACAGTGTTTTCGAGCGCCTTAATTTGTGTGATGGTGTCGCTGAGCGCTGGCTTTTCCGTTAGGCCGATAACGGCTAGTACGTCGATTACGTAATTATTATATTTATTTTTACTATCAATCAAAGATTCGCGTGTTTCGATCCACATTTTGAATTCGGAACTTGAAGAAAGCGATAGCATATAATGATTATCGAAAAGACTGCGATCTAGTTGCACTCGAAGGAGAAAGTTTATATTTTCGACGAACAATAGCCGGTACACAGCATGAACAGGATCGAATGTTCCTTCGCCATTAAACTGCAGATTGTTCGCTTTTAAAAATTTCTTGATGACCTCGCGGTTACGATTGCTTGCATCAGGTCTCTGAAGGCAAATTTGGTAGAAAGAGGCAGCCTTGTCGAACGCACTTTGGTTTTTGCGCGGTGGTGTGGCCTCAGACAGGCTCCTGTGAAAAGCGAATGTCAGGTTGTCTCCCATGTCAGACACGGTGCTGTACTTGCGAGAACCGTACTGTCGAAGCACCTTACCGCACACGTAGTGGTAGAAGTTGTCGCACGGATTTTTCTGCGTGTCGATGGCTTTGTGAAAGAGCCAGGCCAACTTCTGGCAGTCCACGGTGCTGCAATAGCGTGTCTGAGGATGCCTTGTGGTTTCATGACTTTTGTCCGGTGCAGCCAGCTTTGTGGCCAAATCACCGACGATATTTCCGAGAGCTGCGACGGCTCCTACGATCAGGAGGCAGGAGCAGATTGCGCTCAACGTTTGCAAGCTCGCCACGCTTCGTTGTTTTTTTATGTGGCTGTCGTCGGCGATAGGTGACACACTCTGCGATAAAGGAAATAGGCGTTTCTTAGAGTAACTCTTTAAACATAACTATAGATGTAGGTCATACCTTTGGCGTCCTTTAAAATATCTTAATTGTGATGTCTTTAATGACAGTGCAACCACGCTCCTGCTTTGAGCAAATACCGCTTAGAGTTAATATTGGCGTTAATAACCTACGAACCAAGCGTTAGCATTCTTCTTCCTATGCAATGGCAGACCCAGGAAGAATGAAGAATAGCGAACACCGCTAACCTCAACGACTTGCGGCTAGAACAAGTGGCCACTTGATCTAAACTAGATTATATTCCACCAATGTTTATGACATACAACAGCTGGCGCTGGCAACGCAAAGGGCAGGCGCTGAGTTTCGGATATCGTTAGGTTACAGGAATTTCCGCCGTTCATGAGTGTTAGTAAGTCGTTTCGACGGGAACGGTTGGTCCTCGAACGATTTGCCTGAAAACGCGCTCGTCAGTTGTTGGGGGCTTTGGGATGCGTTCCTCGTTGGTTTCTTCCACTGCAGCCATTTTTTCCGAGACGGCTCGGGAAAAATAGAAGACGGCGGCCGCTTAGGCTGCTGTCTTTGTCGGTCTAGCCGAGCGTTTATGCATAGGCCAGCGGAAGTGGCATTGCACATCCTGACACTTTTTGCTTCATTTAATAGATCGAACCGAACCATCTGGAGGAATGTGCACAATGGCAAGCAATCGTGAATGCTCTATACTATGAGTGGGATCCGGCTAGCTAACCGCGTGGGTCCCATGTCGGCAGCCAACGTTGGGCACACGGCGGCCCCCCTTTTGGAGTCCACTTTCTGCTACTTGGTGGTTCTCCAGTAAGCAAAAACATGGCTCTCGTTTCATGGCGTACACCACTGATGTAAACAAGACTGCCTATATAACATTTACCGATTGGAATTTCAACAGCTCCGAAGTGATATAGAGTGAACCCACGTCGCTGTTGCAACTCGGGCCCGAGTTGGCCCTTCATTGGGCTGCCCACAACCACAAAGCGTTTATATAGAAAAGATCGCCATTCTAACGTTTTTTGCAATTTGCGGCGAGAAAACTAACTGTTATACCCTGAAAACACAATAAAAGTTTCATCGTTGAGACCAACCTACTAAGGTAAGAAATTACAGTTTTCTCCGTTTCTCCCTTAGGGTCCCATGCATTAGCTGGTGTCAAGCGATGGCTCCTGGTGGGGCCGCTCGACCTTAGCAAGCCAAGCCTTGATCCGCGATACAATCTGTTATGACAGATGAGTGAGTGCCAGGGCTCATGGTGTGCACGCGCGTTTTCTGCCCAAACACTTCAAACCGGTAATATCCTAAAATAGTGAATTCGTTGCTATGTGCTTCTGATAGCTGTGGATAGTGTGCTTTCATATGCGATTTGCTTTACGTGTTCATATATGGTTATTTTTAGAGCCACTAAATGAGCAGCGCTTAGAGCACTGGCACTCTGTTTCCCGACATTGTTGTGGGCGCCGCCATTTTGGTGCTTGTGCAAAGCAGAAACAACTGTCGATCATCATGATTCGAAAGGGCGACTTCCTCAGCATTAAATACGGTGTTAAGAAGCTCATGTATAAATGCTTAGCTCTGTTGCGAACTTTTTAAACGTTTCTGGAGGACGGAAAAGCGTTTCTAGTGATTTCAGATCAAGCTCCAGATAACTGGCAACCATTATTTTAAGCCATAATATGGGTAAGTGTCGTTACTCTGAAGCGTTACTTATTTAGTGGCACTATACTCCGTTTAACCTTATGTTGTACCGCATACAAGGCTGGAAGCTCGAGCTCATAGCGTTGGGAGCTACTCTGAACGCACGAGAGCTTGTGCCGCCTTGATGGGCTCTAGAGCAAGGAGCTCGCGCTTGTAGCCTTTTCTGTGGTACATCATAAGGTGAAACAGAGTAGTTATTTTGTTCCAAACGCCTTTTTTGTTGTTGTTCTGGTGAGCGTGGAAGAGCGTCTCCCTGCACGCGCTCTTGGTGTTGACCGTGCTAGAGGGGCACTGTTTTCTGCATCGTTTAAAATTTTTCATGAGAGGGCATGTTTTCGGCATCTTGGGTAAAACCAGCTGAACAAGGGAAGGAAAGTGACAAGGAGAAAAGATTGGCGAACCGACCGCTGGACTACCAATTGTTTTTTATTAAATCTTCCTCTTCTTCTATTAATTCATATCCGATCATCCTTTTTCTTTTTCTTTCTCATTGCTCTTATTTTTGCTCTTATTTTGCTTATTTTTTTTCTCCCGATTTTTATCAATTGCCCACGAAGGGTGCCGTGTAGAAAGAGTTTTTCTTTGGCTTGTAAGGTAAGTGAAGGGATGCTCACGCACTTGTCATCTCCTTCGTCGATAGCAAGGGCCTCTAAAACCTCCCTTGCAACCCGGTTTCTATGGTGTCCCATTATGTGAAGATTGTCGAGCTCTGCTGTACACAGGCATATCCGACAATGGGCAGCTAAATGTCCTGGTCCCGCAAGGTTCCTGAGGTTCGCTGCATGTTCACGTGCTTGGTCGTTAATACATCGACCGGTCTGTCCGATGTAGAAGCGGCCACATGTTAGCGGTATATGATATATAACTTCCTTTTCACAAGGAGCGTATTGTGTTCGGTGCCTGGTGTTACACTTTTCCTTGGTGTTGATTGGTACCTGATTAATTTTGTGGCACATTGAATAGGCCTTGTTAGGTGCCGAGCAGATGACTTGCACGTTTTGCCGGTTCGCTATCTTTTTTAACTTATGGGTAACCCCGTGAATATATGGTATCACTACAAAGGGTAGTCTGGGTTTTTTTGTTTGTTGACTCGTACGAGTCAACGAGTCAACAAACGAGTCAACAAACGAGCTACGAGTCAACAAACAAAAAAACCCAGACCACCCTTTGTAGTGATACCATATATTCACGGGGTTACCCATAAGTTAAAAAAGATAGCGAACCGGCAAAACGTGCAAGTCATCTGCTCGGCACCTAACAAGGCCTATTCAATGTGCCGCAAAATTAATCAGGTACTAATCAACACCAAGGAAAAGTGTAACACCAGGCACCGAACACAATACGCTCCTTGTGAAAAGGAAGTTATATATCATATACCGCTAACATGTGGCCGCTTCTACATCGGACAGACCGGTCGATGTATTAACGACCGAGCACGTGAACATGCAGCGAACCTCAGGAACCTTGCGGGACCAGGACATTTAGCTGCCCATTGTCTGACATGCCTGTGTACAGCAGAGCTCGACAATCTTCACATAATGGGACACCATAGAAACCGGGTTGCAAGGGAGGTTTTAGAGGCCCTTGCTATCGACGAAGGAGATGACAAGTGCGTGAGCATCCCTTCACTTACCTTACAAGCCAAAGAAAAACTCTTTCTACACGGCACCCTTCGTGGGTAATTGATAAAAATCGGGAGAAAAAAAATAAGCAAAATAAGAGCAAAAATAAGAGCAATGAGAAAGAAAAAGAAAAAGGATGATCGGATATGAATTAATAGAAGAAGAGGAAGATTTAATAAAAAACAGTTGGTAGTCCAGCGGTCGGTTCGCCAATCTTTTCTCCTTGTCACTTTCCTTCCTTTGTTCAGCTGGTTTTACCCAAGATGTCTCAGAACCAACTAGCTCAGCTTTTACCCTTAGTATGCTTTCGGCATCGGGTGCTACTCGGAATTTCATTGCCCTAAACACAACGACACGGAGGCACCCTTGCCACCCTAGCTGTGAAGAGCGAGGTGCCCCAGCGACGTCTTTGAACCATCCTACTTACCGGCTTGGGAACAGGCTCTCGCGTTCTCTATTTGTTTCTCTCCGCGAACCAGGCGAAGGCGAACTGTTTTTTTATGACATCCGTAAACCAGGAAGGAATCAACCTGGTTTTAGTAACAGTTTTATAGCGATGGGAGAACACAACATTTTTCATTCTGGTGTATGCAAACGGCATCATCAGATATGGTCCAAACAGTACCTTCCAAAAGAGACCACAGCCGTGATTGCGCCACATTCAGGATATCATTTCCAGCTGGTATTTCAGATAATTTTCACGAAATGCGGGTTTGTACCTTTTCATTGTTCTTCCATAGTTAAATGAGAAATTATAGGAACGACTTACCATAAGGTTGACGTCGGAAAAATGTAAAGTGGAGACGCTAAGATGAGCAGCCATTTCCATGCTCAAAGTCGTCTTTCTTTATGGGTGATGCACAATTTGCGCGCGATGTAATTCGCAGACAAAGTCGAAGGGACCATGAAATTATTTTTCTTTTAACTCCTCGCTCCTTAGCTTTAATCCTCAACTCAAAAAAACAATGCAAAAACACGTTGTCGTGACGTGCTTTGACTCCGGAGGCGATGACTACAAGCTTCCACTGTGCTTTTTAAGCGCACCATGAAATTTTTCATTAGCCAGTAATGATATGTTGCGTCACGGCCCTCATTGGTCACGAACGCAAATACAAATATCCCTCGAAGGATTGATTGTCAGCGAGCGCACACATCCGAGTGATGTAGTGCTCGTGTAAAATGCGTGAGCTGGGTTGACCCATAGCCTGCGTGCTCTATACTTACTATACTGAGTATACATCAACTCATGTTTACAAACAAACCGGAGCGCGCCTTACGGACGCCACCGGCGCCGCGCATGCGCGGTGGATGGTGGGCAAGAAGCCCGCCGTCGCCCATAAACAAACCATTGAATTGCGTTGTTGTCGGCGTCGGTGGGAGTCCCCGTGCTCTTTTTCGCGTTGGAATTGTTGATTCTACGTCCTCCTAACAATGTCTGACTACTTGAGCGGCTTCAGCAAAACTATTGAGGCAAAACTTTGCGTGAATAATGTGACGTGCGGCGATTCATTTCACGTGGACGCCGCAGAATGGGCGCTAAAGCCTGACTCCCACGATGAGATTCTGCTCGCTATTTTCAGTCGCGACGTCGCTCGGACTGCAAAAGCGTGGACCGTAGCTGAGGTGGTGGACGTCGATACTGAAAACCGCAAGTAGAATCGGGCATTACAAGTCGGTGATGGCCACTGGTAACAATGATCAACAACTTCTTGTATCTGTTTACACTTAGCCGACTTACCCCAACCAACCTTCAAAAGTGTTTTGAGGCCTGCACTTAGTTCTTATCGCAATTACCGGGTCAACGTTTGGTTTACGGGCCGCTGTCGTTTGAACGAACTGTCGACAAAAAGCACCCAAGTTTTAAAGAGCAGACGACAGTTCGAACGCACGCGCAATGGAGTACCGGCAAGAAGCACCGCGTCCCGCGTGAACAAACCATTCGAATGTCACGTTGTCGGCGTCTGTGTGAGTCTGCATAGTCTTTTTCGTGTTGGAGTTGTCGATTCTACGTCCTCATCGCAATGTCTTACCACTTCAATCGCCTGAGCGAAATTATCAAGGCTCGTTACGCCGCTAAACTTTCCGTAAATAATTTGACGTGCGGCGATTCATTCGCATGAACGCTGCAGAATGGACGCCAAAACCATGATGAGATTCTTGTAGCTATTTTCGGTCGCGACGTCGCTCGTGCTGCAAAAGTGTAAAAGGTAGCGGCGATGATCGACGTCGATACTGAAAATCGGAAGCGGGAACAGACCAAGCGTAACAAGCAGGTGATGGCCACCGGTACCAATAATTAACATCTTGTATCTACTGTTTACACCAAGCCTACTTAAGTCTTTTGAGGCCTGCATTTACTTCTTATTGCAATCACCGGGTCAAAGTTTGGTCTACGGGCCGCTTTTGTTTGAACGAGCAGACGACAAAAAGCAGACAACTTTGAAAGAGCAGACGAAAGTTCGAACGATCAGGCGGCCATGTGAATTTGAAGACGCACTGAATCCGTGGGTGGTCCGGACAACTAGGGGGTTTTCTCTCGGTCATGTTGGAACAAAGCAAATACATCTGGCGACCACAAATTGTGGCCCGCACACACAATCGTAGTTCGACAGCGTCTGGTTTGCCCTTTTCACGGCTGCTATCCACGTTCTCGGACGAATGGAGGGTGCAAAAACACATGAAAACTGATCTTCAAACTTTCCCAGACTCTCTTGGTACAACCCCCATCGCAGCATTTTGACGAGAAGGCAGGTTCTTTGTCTCGTTTCTTCCAAAGGAACACAGGAATGCTTGTCCGGCACGGCGACTTCTGCCCACCGCCCCAGACCGGAAGTGCGTCCGGCGCGCCACCACCGCGGCGTGACGTAGGAGAGTTGAGTTGGTGTATACACTCTAAAAAAAAAGGTAGTCACAGGTGACTACCTTTGGGGTGGTAAAAAGTTGTCCCAAATATAACGACCCCTAGGGTAAAAATGACGACTCCACACGTAGTCAAAAAGCAGGTAGTGAAATTTGACTACCCCCAAAAGCAACATGGCGGACGGTTAGCGAGGCTCGGATTCCCCGGTAAGGCCTAGCGAACAGCACGGCTTTTCGGCCGAGTTAGAGAATAGGGCGCATACGCCTATTCGACGTCTTCCAGGCGCCACCAGACACTCTAAACATCCGTCCTTAGACACCGGTACCGTACCTATTAGCGGGGAGGACGGCAGCGTGTTTGCCGGAATCGTCGCGATTGCACCCGACGGCATCTCGCTAGATTGACTGTATTTTTACCGCCGGCGGAGAACGCTCAAAAAAGAAATCGTAACGCGAGGAATGGGTATGCTGACTTTATTGAAGACAACGTATGCTTGTCGTTTGCGGCGATGAATCGCTGGGCACCTTCGTCGACACGACGGGAGGCGTTCAACTCGCACCAACGCCCCGCATTCTTTTTTTTTTTTTTTTTTCCCTATCTCTTCTTGTTTGGGCCTACCTCAACCGACGTGGTTATCCATTGCTGCCTGCACTTCGCAGCTCTTCGACACAGAACAATAACTTAGGTGGCCGAGTGAAACAATTATTACGATTGTTTTCAATCTGAGAGGCACGTAGGGAGCCCAGTGGACCGCAGAGCCTGGACGGCTGGACCGTAGCCAGCTGTTTGTAGTCAATAGCTACAGGACTTCACAACACTTAGCTTATTGAATCAGGCGGCAGCTTGCGCCACCTAGGAGGTGTAGTAACCGCTAGATGCACTAAAAAAAATACTCTTCCTTCACTAACTCTCCTGAGGCTCTAGAGCTACGTACGTACTGCACCTATGACAACTCATGCGCCAACACACCAACCACGTTACCGAACACTGTTACGGGCACATACATATGAACAGTACAACAAGGCACAAGCAACTGCAACACAACACAACCGCGACTCTCTACTCTGACCACCCAACCGACCCGATTCGTATATATGCCCTACCCGGTTCTGACAAGGATTAGGCAGGTGACTGCCGCTGTTTAGTTGATGAATACAAAAAGTATCTGCAAGTATTATTAGTATACAGTTATTCTGAGTACTTAGATTGGCCGGCTAGACACTTCTCTTAATCTAGCGCTTTGAAAGGCACCATGATATGAAAGTAATCGGCTAAAGTAACACCACATGGCATGCTCCCGATCAGTTTCGGTTTCAGATTCACGCAGTGATAAGCTTACTAATGCCATGTTGCCCCATGCTCGTTCCGCGCGTGTAATAGCAGCAAAGGTTACAATAATATCTGCATTCCTAGTCAGTAATCGGCTAGAGGTAACATAATTCTTAGTCTTGTGTTGTTATATACCCCACAAAGCCCAGCGTATCATATTTGCTACGTGGAGTTTGATAACTCAAAAAGTGACAATAAATTGCGTGAAGCTGAGACCATACCGTTATTATTGTAATAACTCTATGGCTAAGACCAAAGCCTGCAGTATCGGTTTTCATACGCTGACAGAGTTTTCCGATTTGGGTAGTTCAGCAAGCTGCCGCTGGCAGCTAGAGCAAGATGGCCGCACGCAGCAGCACGCTCGAAGGCATACCGTCGGCGTCATTTTACTCGAAAAACAGTAAGCCGTCCTAAATTCGGCACTTTCTTTTTTTTTTTTTTTTTTTGCTCAGAAAGTGTTGCGCAACCACATTATTCCGTTCGCTGTTGTTTTTGAGTCCCGTCCGCTTAGTAACGTTGCTTCAAATTTCTGCGCGGCCTATGCTATCCTGCGTCGCCAATCGCCGCCGCAGCTGAGGCAATACAGGGACATTGGCACCCCGGAACTTCTCGGAGCTGTGGGGTGGAACTGCCTGTCTGTCCGTAGGCAGGTGGCTTCGCTCCGCCTCCTAGCCTGCACGCTGGGTGGCCCTCCTACGCCTCTCCTAGGCTATGTGAGGAAGAATCGCGCCGATAAACTACAACCCCTCCTTGGACGGACGGAGCGTCATAGAAGCACGCTCCTCCCGAGAACCATCGAGCTCTGGCGCTCCCTCCCGAATGACGTCACACAAGGGACATTTGAAAGCAAAGCGGACATAAAGGAACTGTGTAAATGTGCAACCATCCATCTGAAAGAACTGTGATCTGACACTCAATCCGACCCAAATCCCAGTGTACAAAGATTTATATATATATTTTTTTTTCTTTTTTTTTTTAATGTATATATGTCTGTGTAGCGGGTACAGTGGGCCTCTATGGCATGGGCAATAGCCTTTTCACTGTCGCCCGGGTTTTTAGAAACCGAATAAAGCATTATTATTTTCGATACAGTGGGTCGTAATTGATGGCAAAATTTTTGTACCAATTCTGATACGTTTTCTTGGTAAAGCTTTGAATGGTACACGTTTTAACCGTTTTTTTTTTATTGATTTGTTCCTTCTAATTTTAGGTTCCTAAGCTAGGAACATATTGAACAACATCGTCGCTGGCGAAGATGTCAGCGATTTTAGTGATCTGTCGGAAAGTGACGAAAATTAGTCCCCCCGCCGTGGCTGAGCCCTCTGAGACAAGTGATGATGAAGAAACCGTAGAAAATTCCTTCGGATCATCTGTAGCTTCGTCTTCTCGTCCATATAACAAATGGCGAAAGGAATTGCTCCAAAACAGTCATGCTGAATTTTCCAAAGTATTCTTTGAGCCGGATGCCATAGATTCACCATTGTTCCTTTTCCGCCAGTTTCTAAGGACTGATGTGCTCAGTATGCGAGTGGAGCAAACAAATGTGTACAGTACGCAGAAATACGGCAGCTCCGTGACACAACTCTGCAAGAGCTGGAGCAGTATATTAGAATATACCTGAAAATGGGGCTTAC